ACCCTAGGACCCTTTGGAGGCTCACCCTGCCCCCCACCCACCAGGCCAGAGGGGGTGAAATTGCCACCTTCTGGGACTCTTTTGAGACTTGGGAAGCTTCAGAAGAGTCCCTGGTGGTGATTTCGCCCCCTCTGGCCCCCGGGGGGGCAGGGTGAGCCTCCAAAGGGTCCTAGGGTGTGTTCCATAAGACGGACCTCTCCATAAGGCTCACCAATTTTTTAGGAGAAGAAAACAAATTTTTATTTTCCTGTTTTCTTCTCCTAAAAATTTGGTGCGTCTTATGGAGAGGTGTGTCTTATGGAGCAAAAAATGCAGTACCTTTTGAATAAAAAACAGTTTAGAATTGTAGAGGTGATGGATCTGATAAGAGGTTTGCATTAAGTTTGCATCACAGAGAAGAAGAGAATCCTTTCAGATGATTAAAGTCTTCATTGGTTTGGTCAGAACTTGGGCTGAGCCAAATATTCACTTGTAATACACTATGACTCCTTCAGCCTTGCAGTAAAGAAAATGTTTTGTAGCTTATCATGTCAGTTTCTAATCAGAATTAATGAAGAGCAATAAGTCTTCTGAGCAAGTGGAGGTAGGATAGTCACTTAATAATTATAGTTAGAACAGCCGTACTAGAACAGTTTGGAAAAGGAATTTCCTTTTCAAAACTTAATATTTCATAGAGTCTGGGAGCGAGTATTTTACGTAGAACAGAATGTGCATTTTCAAATAGTTACTGATTCTTCATTGTCAGAATGTCCCTTTGCTTGAAATTCAAACTCAGTTTGAGGCTTTACAAAAGCATATCAAGTCTTGGAAATTAATGCCTTTTCTTTGAGGTGGTGTGTTTGGCAAAGGGCAAATTTTCAAATAATATTATTTTCAAGTAAACCACTTCCCATATAAAAACTGATGTGGTACTAACCTGTGAAAAGCAGTGATGTTAAAAATGCATGTTTCAAAAAGCTCCTTAGTGTCTTTATGGTGAAAGAAAACTAAATTTATTCTTGTCATCCTACTGCGTATGAGAGATGGAGCAAGTTCTTAAAGATTCTTCTGTTTGCTAGCTTCGTAGAGGTCTGTGGAGTACTGTTCACAGAAAGAAAAGTTTGAGAATTGAACATAAGGGCTCCATTATTTATTTTGTTTTGGAAATCTGTGTATGCTTACACTAAAAAAGATCCTGTAATGGTTTATGTAAATCAAATCAGAATACAACATGCAATAAACATAAAAACAGACATAAACTAAGTGAAAAAGAAACATAAACTTCAAAAAAAACTAAGTGAAACAGAAAAATGAAACCTAGTATGTCTGAGGGAAAAAAATAAAAGCTTTTGCTGGGTATCTAAACAAGCTCTAGTAGTTTTGGGACCAATTTTCTCCCTCCTTGGAGCCTTCACAGACCTTCATCACAAGAACATTTGTTCTGTATTTTGAAAACCAGAAATAACCTAAAATTCACTTCTGGCTTTGAAAAAATGCCAGAAATGGAACCCCTTCTCTCCCCACCTCTAAGCAAAGCTTTTGCAGAAGAGGATTGGGTGTCTTCTGGGAATAATGATTCTTCTTTTTTAATCCCCCCCCAAAAAATACCATTTTATAATAGTATCCCGGGTGGTTTATGGGGGTTCCTGAGGTGGGGCTTCTGGAGTCAAGAGAAATAACATTGGGGTCATATGATTGCCATCCCTGGTCTAAAGGACAACTGGGTTGATGTCAGACTGACCTCTCTGGAGAAAGCATTCTTCAAAAGGTACCTTATGTATCTCATCCTTGTAAGGGACAAATTGTGATGTTCTCCTCTCTGCTGAAAAGTGTGGTGAGACATTTCTTGGTACTCTCAATATGTTCTTGCATTGATGGGAACAGTATTTCCCACAGATATTGCCCATTTCTGCAGAATTATATTTTCTTTGCCAAATTATGCAGTTGTAAAAATATGAAGTATTGGCAAAAATTAAGGTAGTGGTTGCTTATTTAATTATTTGAAGTACTGATTAATTTTTAGTGCCCTTCTTAAATTCTGCCTTAAATATATTGTTTGCTGTTTCCTCTCTCATTAAATCTCCCACTCCTCTACATGTATTATATTCAATGTGTGATTAACAGTGTTTCTGTATAGTTACAGGTTTTTAAAAAGTATTGGCTCTATTTTAAATAAAATAAAATGTTTGCATTATTTTAAAGAGGTATTTAAGACAACTTTATCTTGCTTTTTAAAAGTAACATTTTTTAAAAAAATTGTAATTTTGTTGTATGTGTGTGGATGATTTTAGAAGTGTTATTAAGGTTAGCATCCTCATAATGTACATTGTACAGGTATGTAGTGAGAGACTTGTGTTCATGGAGAGCTACTCATTCAAACTAAGGAGACTTGTCATTAGCTTAATCAGAACAGTGCTCACTGTAGAGATACTATCGGTATATCATTTTATAAAGTTACCTGACTTTCATAGATATGACTTCAGATAAAAATGCTGTATTCTACTTCATATAATATATTGTGCTTTGATGATGCTTCTGTAAGACATGTAGAAGGACTGGGACAGTATTTTTTTTCTAGATATAATGAATAAAACAACTTCACATAGAAGTAGTGCTGGTCCCAGTATACTTCATGAGGCAACTGTTTTAGTATATTTATGAATTGCACCTTTAATTTTTGAAGTTTAAAAATCTGTCATTCTGTTGTAAAGTTTTATAGTTCATGAATTAGATAAGTTACTTAATATTTTTGGTGTTCTTAATTGTCTAATGGAAGAGCAGTGTGCTTTTTGTGCTGTGGCATACCTTGTTAAAACGTGGCAAACTTTAAAGAATTTTTAAAGTAGTTCTAAGCTGATGGCCTTGGGTGGTCTACATGGCAATTTTCAGAAACCTGTTTCACATTTGTTATGGTCTCTGAGACCTTACCATTCTCTGTAGGAGTCAGTAATAGCCAAGAGATGAAAGAGATGTTTCTTATATTATGCTGGCCTAGGTACAATAACAGTTTTCATTGGTTCTTGTGAACCTTTAGAGTTATAAATATCTCTTAGACCACTGCATAGTTCCAGAAAAAACAGTAGCTAACAAGAATTTTAGCCAAGGAACATGTTGCCAATTGTTATAATCATTGCCAGTTTACATTGTTCCAATGCACAGACATTGTTTCTCCTCTTTCTTTGATACTATGGACATCCAAAAGAAGCATAGATTGGTTTACACATATATTATTGTTTTATTCCTCTTGGGGGTTTTTTTGTGTGTAAAATGTCTTGAAATGATTTTATTACATAATGTGTATTTGAAAATGCAGTGGATTTGCAACCCCAAACTGGTTATTGGGTGAATTTTTTAAAATGAAATGTGTAAAAAGTTTAGAGCAGCTTCACAAAGACAATCAGAAGTGTGCCAGTTGCTAAATTATTACTATGCATCTTTTCCTATACCGTTTACCAATGTATGCTGAAAGTATAGATGGCTTCCCCTCCAAAAACAAAAACTTGATGAATACTGGTCCCAAAAACGATAAGAGGAAGAAAGTTTGCATATGGAGGCTTGCCAATCCTGCATTTGACACAGTAGTTTCCTATCCAGCCCCCCAGATGTTCTGAGGATCCCAAGATTCTGTAGAATAGGGTGAGGTGGGTTGCAAGGCAGTGTATCTGTGAGAGGGGATGGATTCACTAAAATTCGGGAAAGCACCCTTCAGTAGCACAGTTTCCAACTATTCCCTCCTCCCACTGCCGTTTCTAGTATCTCATTCTTTGATGCCTCTTTTAACATGAACTATTTTTGCTGTGTGGGGAAAAGAGGTAGAACATTCACTTCTATAGCCTTTCGTCTGCCCTGTCAGGATAAATTTGATAGTACGTGTTCATGTACCTTGACTTATCTTTAAGTAAAAAAAATCCTCAGTACAAAAAGCAATACGTATTTAAATATGAGACGGCCCTCCGTTCCTGTAGCTTAGGAACACTGGAAATTACTTAGGATCACCTTGTTCCTGGCTTGCCTTTGT